TTACACAGTATTCTAGTGACCTGCTTTCTGAGATTTCCTGGATCTTCTCTCCCTCCCTAGTTTGCTCTGGACTTTCTCCTTTTGTTGCTCTGTCTTGCTCAGTTTTGATTATGTACCAGTGCTTTCTTCTCATTGTGGGGCTTGTTCTAGAAGGAAGCCTGTGTAAATCCCAGTTTTCAAAGTTCATGGGGACATCATTGGTTCAACCCCGTCAGACCTTCTTAGCATAGACCGTTTGCTCTCCAGGTATTGGAAGTGTCAGAATCCCTTCCAGTTTCAGCTGTTGTTTTTGTTGTTTTTCCCAAATGGGCCTGCTGTGCTTTCTAGTGAATACCCTTTAGCTATTTGTCATCTGTTTTGTTCTTAGGTCCGTTAGTTGCCACCTTGCTGCTTTCTTCTTCCTGCCAAGCAGTGTAGATCTTGTGGGTGCTGGTGATTTGTCTCTACACATTTGCATTTTGGGATTTGAAGGGGTACCTTGTCACATAATTTTGTTGTAAGTGCTGTAGATGGGATTTTGGCTTTGCTGTCTAGTTGCCCTGTCTGTTTTTATGTGGGAATTTGCAAAGATCAAAATCTATTCAACTGCAGGTGCCACTGTCTTCCTAGAACCCTTGTCAGTAATGTTGATGTCCCCTGTATGCTACCCTCCACCTGCAGCCCGATCCTGTCTCCTTTCTTCCTTATTCAGAGAGAACCATCCTTAATTTTTATACCTATTGTTCCTTTACTTTTCTATGTAATTCTGGCATATGTTTATATTCCTAAACAACATAATTTCTGAAAGTTTTATAAGTACAATCATATGTATGTATTTTTTGGTGACTTGCTTTTTTTGTTCAACCTCTGTTCCTGAGATTTAGTCTTACTGTGTATGGTTGTAATTTATTAATTTTTACTGCTGTATAGTGTATCAGAATGAATTGTCATATTCATATTCTCTGGTGACAGTGTTTCTAGTTTTTTTCTATTACAGTGTTGGTAAGGACTTGATGTACATGGGCAAGATTTTCTCTTGGTAAATGCTTGAGAGTAGATAGATTTACTGAGTTATAGGACAAGTGATTCTTAAGCTCTACTAGATAATGATACATCGTTTCCCAAAGGGATTATGCTAATTTACATTTCCACTGTAATGTGGAAAATTGCACATCACCTAAAAACCTAAGAAATGGACTTTACTAGTAACTTATATGTATACTTATATTTCTCTCCCCCTAGCCCATCTCTCTGCACTTTTTCCACAGATAACGTCTACCCTGTTTGTGTTTCTCTTACCGTTTAAAAAAAGGTGTGCATCTTATATATGAGTATCTAAACAATAGTTTTTTTAAGTTTTATTTGTTTTAAAATGGGGTATCATACCCTATATAATTCTCTAGGACTTTTTTTTTCACTCAGTATTATGTTACTAAGATTCATCTCTGTTTTGTTTGTAGCTGTAGCACATTCCTTCTCACTGCTGTATAATCCATTATATTAATATCTATATTTTATTTATTCTTCTGATGAGTATTTCTATTGTTTCTATTTGTTTTGTTTGGCATTACAAAACAACAACAGTAGCAGCCACTGATGTAGTACTTACTGTGTCCCAGACACTTTTCTGAGTGCTTTACCTTTATTACCTCATTTAACCTCACTGGTGAGGTAGGTACTCTTTTATTTTCCTTTAATAGAGGAGAGATCTGAGGCAAGAAGGGTTAAAGAACTTGCCCGAGGTATCACGGATATCTACTAGCTGGAGCCAGGATTCAAACCTCAGCTGCCTAGTCCTTCAGTCTGTACTTATGCAGTGTATTGTTTTGGACTTGGAGAATACTGACATTGTCTCTGTTCTCACCTGCCCTTAAATATAGAAAAATAATATCTGCTTAAAGACATAGTGTATTTTACTATTTTCATTTTTAAGGTTTTAATGTTGAAAGCAAATGTGTGATCTTTGCTTCATTTGATTTTAATTTGGAAATAAAATGGTGTTTGTAATGTACTTTAAACTCTAGCAGGCTGAGCTAAGGGAGTATGTGAATTCATTTATTGGATAAGTCATCTTTCCTTAGTATAATAGCTCATAGTGCTCACATCTGGAGATTAGCACCATCTACTGGCAAAGGGAAACAATAACTTAGTGTGTCATAGTATGTTTGTTTACTGTTGTTTGGAAGACTGTGCCCTTTCATAGGATTTTTCTTTTTGAAAACTATTTGTGGGGGAAATAAATATTTTGTAATTTTTCTGTGTATTTATTTTTATGACACAGTTTGTTTTCCTTTAACTTCCAAGTATAAGTTATATACTGCACATTTGCATAACTGAGACTCCATTTTTGTAAGGAAAAATACAAGAAAAGGTATAGTTTTATAGATTTGTCATTCTGTAATAGTCCTTTTCAAAGCATATGTACAAAAGTATTAATTTATAAGAGTAATAAGAGCAAGAGCAAAGCTGTCAGACTCATATGAACTGTATTTAGTTTTTTCTATTTTGGCTTAGTTATACTGTCTTTGGTAGTCAGAGAAGGGGAATTAATAGTAGGGCATTCTCAGTGACTAACTGTGGGAAGCTCAACTCCTGGTATTAACCTAAATTCTGATTTCATCTTTCCTACTTGAACTGGTTTAGCTTTCATTTGTCAGTAGCCTAGCATCCTGTTTTGTATCCTGTTTTAGGCTAACTTCTGTTATTTAGCACTATTCTTTGTTCTTTTTTTCTCTCCTCAGTGACTTAAAAATGTATGAGAAATTGCCTTCTTGTTCCATTTCATACCGATATGTTCTAGTTCTTCTTTTCTGATATGTTTCCTTTAAGCACATGTTAAAAGTTCCTTAGTGTTGCAATTTTAATTAAAGGTGAAGTTATAATCTTTACAGAGGAAGGACATGATGATTCCTTAAGGAATGTTGGCTAAGTGATTCATTAAAGGAATTTTAAAAAGCTAACTTGTGTTATAGAGCAGGAATAGTTGTTTAGGGAGCCACTGGTCTGTTTTGCTTACTTGTAAGTCTACTGAGCACAATTAACAATTGTTCTTTTGCCCTGTGGCTGTTTAACACTTGAAACAAGAACTGTTCTCGGTTGAAAATATTAGCATATTATAGGCATACTATAGAAATATCTATTAAATGCAATAAAGACATTAAAAATAGCAATAATTACAAACTGTAGACCATATACCATAATGTTGAATAGAAAAAGTCCAAGATTGTTGTTGTAGTAGCACTCTTGTAGAATCCAAGTATAGGCTTTTAACTCACGTTGAAGATAGTCTCAGTATAGAAAATGAGAATAGGGCCATTTGTATTTTTGTTTTGTTGTTTTTTGTTTGAGTATTTTGAGCATACATTACTGCTAAAGTGAAACTAAATCTCCCTTTCTTAATCTAAACTATAGTGAATACCAAAATATTTTTATTTTATTTAAAAATACATTTAAAAATTGCTTGTTTAAGTGTAATTCTTTTTCTCCCCAGTACCTAAACTACTTCCTGGAAATTTATTCCATATTTAAATAGAGAATTGTATAGAGGTTTCAAAAATATTATATAAACATGTGAAATTTTCATATCATGCAGTAATTTTTTGAAAGCTTTTTACCACTCTTAGATTATTTAATCCTTTATCTCAAACTCTTTAATTATCAGTTGATTCTTCGGTATGATATGTTTTATATTTTGCCTTCAGATTAACTGTTAATAAATGACTTAAATCAGGTCTACTTTTTATTATGCTGAGTTTTAGGTGAGAGGAGGGTATTAAGATGAATGATTCCTGCCATCTAAGACTATTATAGTTTATTACGAGCATTGCAGCCTTTATATATTATAAAGAAAAATGTATAAAGAGCTGTGTTGAAGTGTAGGAACCAGTTGTTTTAGGTGTACAGAGCCACTGGAATTTAGTTCGAACTGATAATAAAACAAAACTCCCAAAGGCAATGTATATGGTAGTATTTGAGTGGGATCTTGAAGAATAGTAGGAAGGAATTGACAAGTAGAGATGAAGAAGAGAGGGTGCTTCAGGTTGAACAAACCATTACATCTTGTATTGGGTCTTTGAATCAGTGTTTTGGCAGATAGGTATCATATTCCATGAATACTTCTGGGAATTCTGACTTTATGAACGATGAATTACAATAAAATGAACAACTTCTTTAAGAAGAGATAACATACTTTTTTCATGCAGTGTATTTTGTATTGCTCCAAGGTGTATGCTTTAAGCACAGAATTGTCTGCAGGAGAGTATTTTAGGAATGGGGGGAAAAGTGGTGTGTTTCCCAGTTAACACTACTGTTAAATTGTTGAATAGATGCTTAAAACAAATGAAATTTCAAAAATAATTCATCTGAGGAGGAGTGGATTATTCTTAAACTAATATCACAATTTGACTGGTTAAAACTAAAGCTTCCTTAGCTAAATTGGAGAATGAGCTTCATATTCTTTCAGCCATATGAAAATACATTTTTTAAACATAAATATATCTCCTTGAGAACTATGACCTTTCTCTGTATAGGCTGCACTTTATGTACAGAGGGCTGGTCACAAGTGAAGATGTAAGTGAAGTTGAAATGCAGCCCCTAGCTCAGCTACCAAGGGCCCTTTTCTAATCCTTTTCCAAAGACAGAGACAATCTAGCTAGAAAAATCCCAAATCAAAAGTGATTGTATATTTGCCTTATTTTGTTAATGGATTCAGCCACTCAGCTTCTAGTGCTAGAATAGTGTAGGCACAAATTAGGAACTCACTGAATACTTTTTGCATATACAGAGTATTCAGAAGTATAAAATTTATGTTCCTTTTGATTATGACTTTTTGATAGATTATTATATGTGCTTCATGTGATTTAAAAAAATGACTTTACCCAATCAGTGGTCTTCTTGCTGTCACATTCCATGTTTATATGGATAATTCCATTTGTTGTGTTTTTATCAAATTGTTATTGCTGACATGCTGAATTTTTATTTATGGTTCCACTCATATTAAAATATTTAAAATTTAATTTCAGGTATATTACATTTTTTTGCCCATGTGACTTAGTTTCCCAGGGCTATTCATTTCTACCTGTTCAACTCTTGGCTGCGGGAATGAAGGAAGTGACCAGAACTTGGAAAATAGTAGGTGGAGTCACACATGCTAATAGCTATTACAAAAATGGCTGGATAGTCATGATAGCTATTGGATGGGCTCGAGGTAATCTTAACAATATGTGTTCATGAATATTCTGTTATTGATCTGCTATGACTACTGAGCAATTCTCTAGTTACATTAATGGGGACCAGTACTTTAATAAGAGTCTTTGTTGGAGATAGAAACCTTGTTTCTGTTGGATAGTAAAATTAATTCAAAACTGACACTTTTCACTAGTACTCATCAGCCACTATTTTATTTTCGCTAGTGCTCATCAGCCTGACTATCTTAAAATACAGAATTTTTATTATTGGTTTGATTAGCAGCATAACGAGAGGGATTCATAGTTAATTAAGGTGTATAATTTATACACCATAAATAAAACAAGTTTACGTAAATTATGTGGTGCATGTAATTTTTAAAAATTGCCATTTTTCAGCCTGAACAGCCTGAATGGTAAATGTGATTGATTATGAGTTCATGTTCACTCTGCATCACTTACCTTTATTGTCCTTTTGTATGTAGGAATTGAATAAATTTCTCAATCTATTGTTATAGCATACTGCCTCCAAACTAAAATCAGGGAAGGAAATGATAAAGCAGAGGATTTTATTTTTTCAGGTCTGAAACAAACCTCTAGCCTCATCTCTGTGCCTGAGGCCTCAATTTTAACCTTAATTGTAATACAGTAGACAGTTGCCATGCTGGTGAGAGGAGAGAATTGGAGTTGTCTCAGTACCATAAATGTACAAGACAACTTTTTTTCTTTCTCCCAAGAATAATATTTTGGGGATCCTCTTGGAATTTTAAGTCAGGAGATAGGATTGTGGCTTCATTTCATATATTTTCTCAAAATTTGGTTACGTATTTTTGTTTTATCTTGTTCTTTTTAGGTGCAGGTGGTAGCATTATCACGAATTTTGAGCAGTTGGTGAAAGGAGGTTGGAAACCAGAAGCTGATGAATGGCTGAAGATGTCCTAGTAAGTTGGTATGAACTATACTGAGACCGACCCTTTTATCCTTAGATCTTAACCAAATTTACTTTTAAAAACATTTTGACGACTCTAAATGTGGATGAAATAAACAAATAAATAAAATGGGAAGGAAACTAGAAAACAAAAATTTTTCAAAAAGTCTGCTCTCTTAAATGTAGCTTTTAAAATAAATATTGATTCTTTTCTCTGTGGGTTCCCCCTCTCAGAAAATAAAACCAAATGAAAACTCTTGGATTGTTGTAGAATGGTGGGAAGAGTGTGTATTTATGGAGAGAGAACTACATAGGAACAGACTTCTCTGGAATCAGTTGCAGGCTTTTGGCATTTTCACTAATGGCTCCAGCATCACCCAGATTTCAAATTATTCATAGTTTTGGTAGTGAAATGTCAAGCTTTGGGAATAATAAATACATTATCGT